TAGTAAGGCACTTGTTATTACTACTAGTAAGGCACTTGTTACTACTACCTACTACTACTACTACTACTACTACTCCTGCTACTACTACTACTACTACTACTACTACTACTACTACTACTACTACTACTAGTAAGGCACTTGTTATTACTAGCAAGGCACTTGTTACTAGCAGCTTCCTTTTTCTCCTTCGTTTCGACGTTTTGACCTCCAAAATCGCATGGCAGCCTTCCTCCGCAGTGCTTTGCTCGGGATTGGCTGCAATGAAGTCTGCCGTGCTGGCGGCGCTTTGCGGTGTGCTTGGCACTCATGCGGCGCCCAAGACACACGGCGTCAGGTTTACAATTGAATGCAATTGATGTTTTGTTTTACTCGGATGGGCGATTTGGATTGGGAAACATGAGCAGGGGATGAGATGGTGCCCCAGAGAAAAGTGACACGTTGTGCTATAGCGGAAGTCCAAACTCCTTTCAAAAGCGAGTGACTGGAAGACGTCTAGATTAGCCATCGCTGGTAGGTTGGAGGCCATCGCTTCTAGGTTGGAGGCCATCGAATGTCAGCCTTCCAGGAAGACGTTTGTTTGTATCATCAGATCCTGCCATGCGATTTTTCAACCCCTGAACCGTCCTCAGGACAGCCATTATGGATCCTGGGATCATTAACGAGATGAGACCACGTCTACCCGAGGCAGAGTGGAGGCTGCTTGGGTTCGGGCTGGACCAGGTGGCGAGGGATGACAGAGCAGGACTGGAATGGTGGATGCTTTTGTTGGCGGTATAGCGTCCTTGCTCCTAGTAGTACGGCCAGGAGCCCCTAGTAGCGTCCTTTTGCTCCTAGCAGCGATGCCAGGAGCCCCTAGTAGCGTCCTTGCTCCTGGTAGTACGGCCAGGAGCCCCTAGTAGCGTCCTTGCTGCTAGGTGTTCCTGGGCAACAGTTGGATGCTTTGTGAGGTTTACATTCCCCAAGAAGTAGCATAGCAACCATCGAGACAACGTCCTCTCGAATTGTTCTTTCTGAAGGCCCACGATGAGCTGATTCAGTCCACACAGGATCCGTTGAATGAGGTCACAGGTCAAGGATTGCACCATTTATGGCACTTTAGAATCTACTCGTCACAAGAAGCTACTAGGAACAAGTGCATCGCTTCTAGTAACAAGTGCCTTACTAGTAGTAACAAGAAGCTACTAGGGGCTCCTGGCCGTACTACTGGGAACAAGAAGCTACGAGAAACAAGGACGACGCATGCGTTGGCTTCACAGTTTTACAGCAGAAAGAGTGGAGGCAAACATGGGCTGGTTGGTCCGAGGGACTTCCACATCTGCAGGTTGGTCTCTTTGGAAAACGCCACTGCAGCGGAGTTGGCAGAAGCCGAGGTGCTATGTCCGCCCTTTGGCTTGGCAAGGAGACCAGGGTGGAGACGAGGGCAACCTAATAGGAATGGCCTCCAACCTACTAGTGCGAAGCATTAGAACCCTAAACTAGTAAGTGAACAGCGATTGCCTCCAACCTACTAGCGATGCCCTCCAACCTAAAAGCGATGGCCTCCAACCTAATAGCGATTGCCTCCACCCTACTAGCGACGGCCTCCAACCTAGTAGCAATGGCCTCCAACCTGATAGGAATGGCCTCCATCGTAATTGTTGATATGTAGAGCCTATTCCACCCTCAGTCTATGACCTCAAGCGCCCCCAAGAGGAAAGATAGGCCATGTTTGCTTTAAAGAACCATTACTGTATTAGAGAAATATTCAGGGCTTTGGGGCCTTATTATGCGGGGGAAGTTTCTGGGCAGACGAATCTTCAAAGGATGTGGTTTTCAAAAGCGGTGGATCCGACTGGTGTTGATGTTAGATTTATCAATTTCTTTGACTCAGTTACTAAATTGTTGCACACGCACAGTGTAGGCATGGACATTCTTTAGACCTTTCATACCATGTACACGATCCAGGCAGCTTGCATCTGCGCATGCTTTGGTGTCCAACGTCACAACTCGCAGGAATGCGACCGCCTTTGCCGGTTTGTTGCAGAAGATGCAATCAGGCGCGGAGCAGCACCGGGGCAGAACGACCTTCAGTTGAAGGAGGACCTAATAGGTTGGAGGCCATTGCTGTTTGAGGCCACACTGTGTGCAGAAGATGTGCACTTCTTCTGCCACGGGGTGTCGGCAGGTTCTGAGTTTGTTCTTTGAGCCAACGCATACTTGCCTTCTACACATGTAAACAAAGAGAACAGTCATCCCGAGAGTCCCTTCGACAAGGCGGGGAACGGCAAGGAAGTTGTTGCGTCGCCTTCGTCCGAGTCCGGAAGGCAAGCTTCTTCAGTGGATGGCCGCAGGAGTGGATTTGATCAACATGCCTCTTGGTGGACTTGTTGGCCTCGACAGGTGAGTTCGTCGAGCATTGCTAGAGCCCCCCTTGAAATGTTCTGGAGAGAAAGAAGATTGACAGTTCTGGGGATTTGTTTTTGTCCCGGATTCCTGGTCATAGTTAGTGCTAGAAATAGACTAACTAGACCTGCTTTCAGACACTCCAGGAGCATAAGAAGTCATTCCTTCTTCTGAGAGCTTGTCTTGCAGGTTTCCGGGAATTTTTAGGTCGGTACAAGCTTGGATATCTTAAAGAAGTTCCTGACAATACCGCACTTTGGTTGTTAGTGACTGTTAGTGACAGTGGATATTATCAAACCGTTTGTTTAAAAGCAAGACACCTAAACACTAATCAGCATGCAGCATGTGTCTTTGACCAACATGTTTTCTTTTTGTGGGACGACTTGTCAAGTCATGGGCCAAGGTCAGCCGTCCCTTCTCGTTTCGCCATTTGCGACGTCCATCAAGGTGGGCCCCTGCGTGAGTTTGGACCCCTGAGTCTGCAGGAGCAGCCCCCTTACTTACATAGGGGGGCCGACCCGGCCATCCCTTAAGATTAAGAGTCGTAAGAGGCCCCTCAGTCACCAGAGATTTCGTCCGTCACTTATGTCAGCATTTCTTTCAAATGCCCAGCCAGACCTTCCTGGAATCTGTGGAGCAATAGCGGATGAGTCTCTGACATGCGCGTCGAGGAAAACACATCATGTGCAGCTTTCCTGACTTCTTTCAGTGCCCTTTGATCCCCATCAGACCTATCACTTGTTGAAGACTGGCCCATGGAAAAATACCTGACCCTGAAGAACCAGCTCTAACCACATGGAATGGGACGCTGGCTGGACACCGCTCGTTTTGACGACACCTATATATCTTCACTGGTGCTTTCACATCAAGGATTGCTGAAAGATATGGACATATGCGACATAAGGCATGAGCATCAGTGAGAAGAGAATGTGAGAAGAACATGCCAAGAACAACCTGGACATTTTGGGTAAAGGAAGAAGGGCCAGGGCATGCAATACAAGACAAAAAAGAGCTATTTCACAAAGAATAGAACAAGTCTCCTAGACAGGTCAAGAACTTGATCAAGCACTAGCTAAAACTCATGTCTCCCAATTCTGTGGCCCAAGTTCCACATCAGCTTTCCAACAAACATGTCTGAATGGACAGCCTGAAAGAGGACGTAGCTCTGAAAGGTGTTGTCTTTCACAAAGCTGAAGCTTCAAAGGACATCATAATTAGATCATGTGGTTCATGCACAAGTGCACAAGGGCCTTTGCCTCTTTCTTTTCGCTCCTGACGGCAGGCAGATGTAAGCACTGACATGATAGAGGTTCTCAATATGTCAAACATGTCCCAAACCCTTGAGACGTCCATTTTTTCGGAGCGCTTCGTGCTGAGCGACGGTCTCGCTCGATGAAGCCACAATTGGGTGCACGACTGGGTGCTACGCTGGGGTGCATCTTGGTCACAGCCTTGTCGATCTGGACATGCTTGGGTGCAAGTCGCCCCTTTGAGGCATCAGCGGGATCTTTTCGATTATTGGCAGTTGGGAAGACATGGACAAAAAAAGAGAACCCGGTGCAGCACTTGTGGGGCTTGAGGTGATGATTCAAACTGCTGCATGGCCCAAGACGTTGGCAACTCTGGGATGGGAACTTTGCGATGATGTGTCTAAAAAGAGTATTGATCAATGTTTACAACAATTCAGAGATGGAGGTAACCAGATGTTTCAAAGGATTTTTGGTCACATGCCGAGGATTCTATTGGAAAGCCAAGGCTTGGGGGGAGCCTGAGACGTGGCGAGAAAGCAGCTGCCAAGTCTTATCTGCAGGACTTAATGCCGTCGTCATAGCGTAAGGGTTATTGTTATTGTTTTATACTTTTTTTTTTGAAAGTGAGAAAAAGCATTTGACAGACTCATCTCTGAACTATCAAACGATTTCCAGATTGTTCAGTTTAGAAATGGATGAATGAAGTCTTCCCTGTCAGGAGTAAGCTGTGCAGACGAGGATGGTCTCCCATTTCTGCAGAAGCAGGTGTTTCCTTTGTCTCTTTTTGGATCAGTTGTTGTATGTCGCAGTTCATTGTGTCCAAATGCCTGCCTACTGTGGCATATAGGCAACTTCGATGGCAGTGTTTTCTCTCAAATCTGAGATTTCAGGCCACAACTTCGCACGGATAGTAGACTCAGTAGAAAAATAACAGAGATGAAGGAAAAACGGAAAGAACAATGGAAGGTAAGGGGGCCGTATTAAAGAGGCCCCCTTACCTTATGATTCTCTCTCTCTCTCTATCTCTTTTTTAAACATAGAACATATAGAAGTTGGTTGAATCCACGGCGACCAAGGAGATCCATTATGGACTGGGGACTGACACCGACCACCGAGGTGTACATCCCTGCGATTTGAATCCTCATGCCACTTTCGTGCTGAAGCTGAGTTGGGCTGAGCGACGGCATGTGTCGTCCTTGTTTCTAGTAGCTTCTTGTTCCTAGTAGTACGGCCAGGAGCCCCTAGTAGCGTTCTTGCTGTCGGGAGATTACTTTGGCTTTGTAACTCTATTTCGATAACAGTCCACACCAGTACAGTTGCAGATACCTGCCAAGCAGTCTGCAAAGCCTATGCCCGCGCGTGAAGCGGTGCGTTCAGCGGTGCGTTCAGGTGCCCACTGGGAGTCCTCCAGTCTTTGGAAGTGATCAGCTCTCAGTCTGCCCAGGAACCTTTTGGTGCGCAAGGCGCGCGAGCCACTCGTGGCGCGCAACGCATGTGGCGTTGAGATGTGATGATTTCCTCAGCATTTGGAATGGCCTCCAACCTTGAAGCAAACCTAATTGGCATTCCTGTTGTGACAGATTGAAGGACCTTCAACAACTTCAGCTTCTCAAAACTGGTCGGGTCGGTTTGTTTCACCAAGCCATGTTTGCTACTAGGAACAATGCTCGCTACTAGGGGCTCCTGGCCTTACTACTAGGAACAATGCTCGCTACTAGGGGCTCCTGGCATCGCTATTAGAAGCATTCTTACTACGAACGTAACAAGAAGCCATGTTTGCCTCGTGCCATGCGCGACATGCGACCGAGCCAGGGAGACTGAGCTTTGCCGCTGCAGTGGCGAGGTCATCTATGCAGCACTGCTCTTCAATGGCCAGGTGTGGCTGCTCGTGGCCGGGAGGTCTACACCAGGATTTCTACACGTCTCTCCTGGTAATGACCAACGTTGTTTTTTCTAGATGTGTTTTACAGCAGTGTAGTTCACAGGAAAATGGTGCAGTGGCACGAAATCATGTGAGTAACTAGATGTTTTCACCCGCAATCATTTGACAAACTAGATGTTACTACTGTCCACGCTACTGTCCACCTATCCAGCGGGTCCAGCAGGCAATCTGGAGATATTTTTTAGTTGTACTTCAGCAACAGTTGTCAGAGGTAATTGCATCAACAAAACACAATCACTTGGTCTTCTTCTGATTGGTTGCCTTGGCATTGCACTAACCTTCTCAAGGGTTTGATCAAATGACCTTTGTAGGAAAGCTTCGCCCAGAGCGGGTCTGAACATCCTGCAGCGTCTTTTTGTCAGCCATCCTTGCTCTTCTTTTCTCTCTCCCTCTCTCTCTCTCTCTTTCTTTTTAAATCTTAGATCTCAAAGAACAACACACGAATGTCAAAAAAGCACATCTAGCTGAACCTAGTTGAAGTGTTTTCTCCTTTGGAGGCCATTGCTATTAGTTTGGAAGCCCTTGCTAGTAGGTTGGAAGCAGTAGATAGTAGGTTGGAGCCCATCGCTAGTAGGTTGGAGGCCATCGCTAGTAGTAGGAGGGCATTGCTACTTGGTTGGAGGCTATTGCTATTAGGTTGGAGGCCATGGCTAATTACTAGGTTGGAGGCCGTAGCCGCTAGTAGGTTGGAGGCCGTAGATGGTAGGTTGCGGGCCGTCGCTAGTAGTAAGAGGCCATTGCTATTAGGTTGGAGGCCATGGCTAATTACTAGGTTGGAGGCCCTAGCCGCTAGTAGGTTGGAGGCCGTAGATAGTAGGTTGGAGGCCATCGCTAGTAGGTTGGAGGCCATCGCTAGTAGTAGGAGGCCATTGCTATTAGGTTGGGGAGGGGTATGTGTTCTTTAAATATTATTTTTTGTTATTTTTTTTTGCTGTTTTTTGTTTTTCGTGGCTTCTGGCTTCTGTGGCTTTTGACTTTCGTGGCTTCCGTGGCTTTTGGCTTTCGTGGCTTCTGTGGCTTTCGTGGCTTCCGTGGCCTTTGGCTTTCGTGGCTTCCGTGGCGTTCGTGGCTTTTGGCTTTGGTGGCTTTCGTGGCTTCTGTGGCTTTTGTGGCTTTTGGCTCTCTTGGCTTTCGTGGCTTCCGTGGCTTTTGGCTTTCGTGGCTTCTGTGGCTTTTGCGAGCTGCTCACCTTTGGATCTGGTGTGCTGCTGGGCGGGTGCTGCGCCCCCCCCAACCCCCCCCGCGCCACGAAATTTGCACTTCATCTCCGACACCCGCGCCTGCCACGAAATCAATATTTTAAGGTGAACTCCCCGGTATATACTCATATTTATGACCATAGCAAAACACAACATGTTTTTAATTAAGGTTTTCACTATGAACGTGTCTAGTGGCACATGACCTGCAAAACCAAAAATGCTGGATGCTGAGGGCCACTTCAACCCCACCCAGCTTTCAACGTAGCTTCTTTCCGCACTATTATCCATTTGTCGATATATTTATCCATCTATTTGTCTATATCTATCTATCTGTCTATATCTATCTGTCTACATCTATCTATCTATCTGTCTGTCTGTCTGTCTGTTTGTCTGTTTGTCTGTCTATCTCTCTACCTACCTACCTACCTGCCTAGCTAGCAGGCTAGCTAGCTATCTCTCTCCCTCTATCTCTCTATCTCTCTATCTCTCTATCTATCTATCTATCTATCTATCTATCTATCTATCTATCTATCTATCTCTCTCTATCTCTCTGTCTTTCTGTCTGTCTGTCTGTCTTTCTTTCTTTCTTTCTGTCTTTCTTTCTTTCTTTCTTTCGTATCTATCGATCCATTTATCTGTCTATCTTTCTATCTGTCTATCTATCTAGCTATCTAGCACCTGCCACGAAATCTACACTTCAAGGTCCACAAAGTACTGTGCCTGCCACGAAATCTGCACTCCAAGGCCAAAGTCCTGCACCTGCCACGAAAACTGCACTTCAACATCCACAAAGTACTGCACCTGTCACGAAAACTGCACTTCAACATCCACAAAGTCCTGCACCTGCCACAAAATCTGCACTTCAAGGTCCACAAAGTACCGTGCCTGCCACGAAACACGAACAACCAAAAACAATTCCAAACTAAAACTTCAAGGACCACAAAGCCCTGCGCCAAGGCCCACAAAGTAGTGCAGGTGCCACGAAATCTGCACTTCAAGGCCCGCAAATACTGCACCTCCCACGACATCTGCACTTCAAGGTACACAAAGTCCTGCGCCTGCCACGAAATCTGCATTCCAAGACCCGCAATGTCCTGCACCTGCTTCGAAATCTGCACTTCAACATCCACAAAGTCCTGCACCTGCCACGAAATCTGCGCTTCAAGGTCCACAAAGTACAGCGCCTGGCACGAAACACGAAAAAGAAAAACGTAAACATTTCAAAAATAGATCCGCAGCCTTAGAGGCCATTGCTAATTACTAGGTTGGAGGCCCTAGCCGCTAGTAGGTTGGAGGCCGTAGATGGTAGGTTGGAGACCATCGCTAGTAGGTTGGAGGCCATCGCTATTATTAGTAGGAGGCCATTGCTACTAGGTTGGAGGCCACTGCTATTAGGTTGGAGGCCATGGCAAATTACTAGGTTGGAGGCCCTAGCCTCTAGTAGGTTGGAGGCCATAGTTAGTAGGTTGTGGAGGCCGTCGCTAGTAGGTTGGAGGCCATCGCTAGTAGGTTGGAGGCCGTAGATGGTAGGTTGCAGGCCATCGCTAGTAGGTTGGAGGCCATTGCTATTAGTCTCGAGGTTTCTTGGAGATGCGACGTGAGAGGTCTACACCCCAGCCACCGTCGACAACGACTATCGTGTCTCCACTCCAAGCGGCACGGTGCGTTGCGGCAGCGACGCCCACGGGCAGCCGCTTGGGGACCCGGCCCCGGGGCAGACGAAGTACTGCTGGTGCACACCACAGGAGTCATGGGTGGTCACGGCTTCAGGCAAACAGGGCAGCAGAAACCTCATATTTTGGATATTTTTGGATATTGTCTATTCTTGGCTGGAAGTTATAAGAGTCTATGGAGTTTACTCACTTCTTGTGTTGTTTAACGGTGTGAGTCATCAGCATCCGAACAACTATAATGAAAGCAGATGATAAATTTTGGACAAACCAAAATCAATGTGTGTGGCACCACATGGTAGGTATGACGTCCTCCAGTCCGCTCCACCAGACGTTATGACCGTTAGAACCTTCGGCAATGTCAGTCTTTTGCACTCCATCCTGCAGGAATTGTCGGATTTGGTGCAGCCATCCTCAACCCTGCAGTGCTCCTTGGGAGAACTGATCGTTCTTCGTTTTCTATTTTGACAGCTTAGCATTCTGGAGTCTTGGGTTGGAGGCCATTGCTAGTAGGTTGGAGGCCATCGCTCTTAGGTTGGAGGCCATGGCTAATTACTAGGTTGATTTTTATTTTGGGGGAATCGCTCTTAACAGGTCCTAGCATTGACCAGTCTTGGCTGCTGCCCACCACTGCCTATGTTTCGTGCGAATATGTCCTAGAGAAAAGCTTGGGCTGATTTTGATGAACAAGTTCTGTTGCAACACTTCGTGTTTCAACACACTGCTGTGCTTGGTTCCTTTAGGCTCTGAAGCAACGAAGAAGGAGAGGAGGGAGTGAGGGAACCTTTGCACAAGAGGATGCTGATTGCCCAATTCTCATGTGCAGGTTTTGCATCTATCCAGTTAATTCATGGTGTACCTCAAACCCATTCCAACATTGTACACCGGCAGCAAACACTCATGTCATGGTGACTTGGATGTAGGAACTCTTCCCAAAATGCATGTGTCTCTTCTGAGATCGGAGGCGCATCCTTTGTGTTTTCAAAACGACCTTTCTTTGCCCCGAATGGTGCTTTGTAAGAGCTCCTCACCCACAGTAAACCGCACCTGACACTGAACCCAAATATTTGAGCTCGATCGTTTGTGTGCCAAGTCAGATCAAGATCCCCTTAAACAACAAGAATCAACTGGTGCCACCCATTCTCTGCTCGCGACACGACGCGAGCGTGGAGGACTTCGATGCGGGCCGGCGGCTCCTCGACATGGGCCGCCGGCGACGTGTGGTTTACAGTGGCTGGGCACTGGTGGAGGTGGAGCAGCAGAAGACCTGCGCCTATGAGTGGCGCGGTATGACGGAGGAAGGATGGAGGAAGAAGAGGTACGGTCTAATTTAGTTTGCTATTAGAAGGTTGGAGGCCATCGCTTCTAGGTTGGAGGCCATCGCTCTTAGGTTGGATGCGATTGCTAGTAGAAACCAAGAAAAAGAAAAGGAAGAATGGTCTAATGTAGCTTGCTTCCTGCTTTTTTGAGGTACGGTCTACCTTCAGCCACCAACGATGAGATCTACCCTGCACGCACCAATGCACTGGCGCAGGAATGGGGAAAGCAGCCAATGAGAGACTGCTGGGTGCGCACTGCTGGGGCTTCTGGGGATGTGTCTGGGCTGGATTTGTGTTTCAGATGAAGTTGCACCTTTGGTACAAGTCTCTTGTTTTCTTCATACTCACCTGAATGTTGGAACCCAGACAGCGCTGTCCCGAGGAGTGATGACCTGAAACGACTTGAGGATTACCTGAGGTCACTAATCCATCATCAAACATGTTGCACCGAACCTGAAACCAACCAACGAACGAACGAAGAAACGAACGAAGGAACGAACAAAGGAACGAAGGAAGGAAGGAAGGAAGGAACCAACCAAACAAACAAACAAACCAACAAACAGCACACACACAGATATATATATATATATATGGCACACCCCCCCAAAACCTACCTTTTAGACAATTTCGTGTTTGGGGATGATAATCTATCAGTCAATCTTGGTTGGGAAGAAGGGGGGTGCCATATATATATATACACACATACCTTATTGCACTTGGTTGGGAAGAAGGGGATGCCATATATATGTATACACACGTTATATTATGCACATGTACCTGCAAGATGTAAGAATTGCAAGAACAATCGCGTTTGCAAACGTTTGCAAACGAGAGAGGATTCAAGATTCAAGATTCAAAAAGAAGTTCTTGAATCTAGGATCCAGAGTTTGGAATCCAAGATTCAAGAACTCTTTTGAATCTTGAATATTGAATCTTAAAGCTTGAATCTTGAAGCCCCTCTCGTTTGCAAACGTTTGCAAACGCTATTTCTGGATTGTGTGCTGAGTACAGTGTGGAAGGAGCATTCATAAACTTCCTGAATGCAAACGTCTGCAATGATAAACCCAAACATCAAATACGCACAAAATACGTGAATTTAATTGAATAAGTGAATTTAATTCTAATCGAGCTGCAGGTTAAGCAATTCTATTTCAATTCTACCTTAATTCTAACCCTATTCTATTTGAAACGATGAAATTTCTATTAAATCTTAGTTTAGTTAAAATAGTTAGTTAATCTAGTTTTATGTTTATTCAAATTTAGTTTTGTTTGGATTTCAATCTATTTGTACTTTTTTTTGGCTTCAGCTAGTTTAAATCTTATACAATTCCATTTCGAGTTGTTTACAATTCTACTTTATTTTTGTTGATTTCCAATTCAGTTTTGCTTCAATTTTTTCAAAGCTATTTATGTCTTGTATGCAATTCTAGAATGTTTTTGCGCAAAGGTTGGGAAGGCGGAGCATGATGGAACGTGAAGATGGCGCAAGCCAAGCCACCATGGCACCTATATGATGTGGACCTGACACCCTGAAGCCAGTGGTTCCTCTTCATTCACCATTAAGAACTCACACAGCCGTGCCTTTTAACTTCCGTGGTTGTTAGAGGCTGCATGTGGGAGGAAGATGCCGCCATTCTGTGAGATCAGGGTCCAACAAGCTATCTTCCCACCAAATCCTCTCATGGCAATGCCCACGTTCGAGAGAGGAGATAGCTTTCATTTCAGGAGCTGCGTTTCAGGAGGGGTAGCCTTAACGCCTGAAGACCTTAGGCGTCCACCTCGCTTCCTTGCAGACCCGACCCGATGGTTGGACCACGGTATCCTTAAGTGAAACCAAAGGCCCCAAGACGCACCTTGTGGTCTCACAAGCGCTGGGAAAAGGTCTCTTATTTTACTTTGCTGCAGAGTCTGCAGAGCAGCTGCGCTGGCATGCGCCCGGCCTTTCACGATTTCTCGATATCTTAACGGCTTCACTTCACTGCTGCGATTCGCGTAGGAGGCCCATAGAGCTGCGCCCATCGAAGCTCTCTTGGAGACCTCAGGATATGCGGCCTGATCAGTGCCGACTTTTCGCCTTACTGTTCGCTCAGGGTCATTGACAGGTACAGGTTTGATTGCAATAAGCCGTCTAACGCAATAACTAGAGCGTAAAGTGTTAATGCATCTTTGGGGACACCTTGAAACTTGCTCACATGAGCTCTTTCTCAAGTGTGCGCATGCGTCTGTCCTATTACAGTTATACTTAAGAGAAAGGCCCTGTGCTAACTATCATCATCCTCGGTTATTTGTAGTGGGACGTACCATATATGTATGTATATCATTGGCGCTTGCACGTGCTTGTGCATCTTTGTGTCACTAGCCGCTAGCCCTGATACCCCGTCCTGCCGCGTTTGTGTTCAGCAGTGTCGCTTTGGCCATGATTGTTTTTTTGACCAAGGCCTTTGGCACAATTTGTTCGGTGGCTTTGGCACGGCCGGACAGCTTCAAGGATGCCTCCACGAACTCGCCGCTCAGCAACAAGAAAACTGGGTTAGTAACAAGAAGCTATTAGAAGCAAGTGCCACGCTAGTAGTAACAAGTGCCTTACTAGTAGTAACAAGAAGCTATTAGAAGCAAGTGCCACGCTAGTAGTAACACGTGCCTTACTAGTAGTAACAAGAAGCTAGTAATTTAATTTAGATTTAAATTCAATTCGAATAGCTTTTTGTTACTACTAGTAAGGCACTTGTTACTAGTAGTAACAAGAAGCTATTAGAAACAATGGGAGGGTTCCGGGCGCCTTTTCGGTTCCTTCAGGTCCCGGCGAGCATGGGGCTCCGGTGGGGCGACGGGCCGGGTTCCGGGTGCCTGAGGGATCACCAATGACCCACTCTGGTCTACCAATAGGGGCCCACCAGACTTTGTTGTTTGTCGAGCGTAAACAACTATATAATGTAGGTTTTTGATCAATAAGACCCGCATATGAAAAGGAGGTTTTACAATCCAAATGGGTGGTTTTATCAATCAAGAGTCTACATTACACATTTCTCAGTTATAGCCTATAGCAGATGCAGAAAAACGCAATTCAAAGAAAGGCCGCAGTGGTCAGACTCGAGGAGTTGCAATGGGCAGACGACCCCACGACCGGTGTGGTTTCGAGTGTGGACAAGAACCTTTGCAGCGGCCGAGTGCCGACTGTGCCAAGCAGCTTTGTGGTGAAGCTCAGCGTGTGGTGTTCAGTTCATGGCTGAGCGCCAAAGACGTTTCGCCGATGAAGACCTGGTGTTCAGAAACCATCACAATGGCAGAGCCCGAGGATGATATCCCCCTGTCACCTCGTGCTGTGGCGTGGTTGGAATGGTTGGACAATTATGTTGGAAAAGCTTCCACATTGAAGCTGCTGCTTCCGACCAACACGCCGTCCAGCGAAACATCGCCCGGCATCAACAAGACAGGTCGTGAATGGACTGGCGCTCATGGTATGAGTGCGCTGCGCACCGCTTACACGACTATGCCCAACACGGCTCAGGGCGCCACCTTCTAAATCACATGTGTAATTTGAAATTGAAAAGAGTCCATAAACCCCGCCTGTCTAGAGACATGCGGATCCTTAGCAGCCTTGCAGTAACAAAGCTCAGACCAACTCACCAGCAACCATGATATTCGCCAAGCAGCCCAGGAAATGGTTTCAAATCTTTTGGATCATTTTGGGTTCCTTGGGCACCGTGGTCTGCGGCATCGGGGCCGCTCTGGCTTGCATGGCTGAGCGTGATGCCGCCGCTGCTGGGCCACATGTGGACGAGAGTCAAGGCCGGGGCTGGCTTTGCGGGGTGAAAGACATCATGGTATTCCTCCAAAATTCTTTAGTTAATGCTATAAACTATACAGAGGGTGATACGTGACCGTCCCACAGTGGCCAGGCGAAATGGACTTCAATGGACTTCCTAATTCAACCAGGGCTGATCCAGATAGATGTTAGAAGAACCCGAACGAAGAACACACATCCTTCCTCCTGAATGAAGTATTCATGTTTCCTGCGAATGAGTTTCATAATCTTGCTTTTGAAGAGATAGAACAGTTGTTCCAAATTTGAACCATGGGGGCAATGCCGTGATGAATGATTTTCACGACTTGACGAGAGAACATGGTGTGTTTTCTTGGTGTGTCGCACACCGTCCTGTGCCGTTGGAGGTCTCGTGCAGCTGCCCAGATACTGAACCACGGTGTTCGGGCTTGGAGGGCTAGCGATGACGCAGTAGACGTCGCAGATCACCTCGCAGATGGCCTGGAAAGGACTGCTTTGATGATTCCTGCCACGGCGCGCCAAGTCACGCACTGGATGGTCGTTTGCACCGCTTGACTCACTCGGTGGTGGAGCACACAGAAGCCAAGCGAAAGTGAGTCACATATAGCTCTAGCCACAGAGAAAGATCACGTGAAAAGGACGCATCCCCACAAAACTTGCAAGTGTGATGAGCAGCTCCGCTCTGAGCAAGAATTAATTCGTGCAAGAGTTAGCCCTGCTTGCCACCATTCTCTTCCGCTCGCAGAGTGATCAAAGCATCAGATGCGTCGTTTGCGTAATGTGGCTCTTGAGGGGCACAAACCGCCAGCAGTTGGGAGGAGGGGGCTTCCACATCTCTAGGTGAGCCAAGCTGCACGAATCCAGAGGAAACTCGCCACGCACCCTCCAAAAACCATTCCCAAATTCTGTCTACGAGGTCGAGATTGCTTGCCCAACATGAGCCACCGTCAAGGTCGTCCTTCTCGTATTTAACTGAACATCCATGGCACATTTGATTCTGTGAACCGTGAACTTGCAGTTGTAGTTTAAGTAGGTTGGAGGCCATCGCCGTTAGGTTTAAGTAGCAAAAAGGCAGCACTTTCGGTATAGCAGCTGAGTTTCATAGAGTGTATGGACAAGCTGCGCACCACGAACGGTGGGAGCCCAAAGCAACTAGTTCTGAGGTAGCCAACATATTGGTCTAAATGTGCCACTGTCCGTTCCGAAGGAAGGCCGTACGGATGTCAATGTGACAGGGTAGGCAGTTTGAGCTTCACAGCTACTTACCTGCGCACAATCTTACCTACTAGCGATGGCCTCCAACCTACTAGCAATGGCCTCCAACCTAGTAGGGATGGCCTCCAACCTAATAGGATGGCCTCTAACCTGGCAGCTTACCTGCGCACACTCTTACGCAGCGACTCACCCGCAGCGACTTTCTATGTAGCTTCGACAGGTGGGGTTGCCATTCCCGAGTACGTGCTGGCGGCGATTCTTCAGTGGAACGCCCCTTGGCGATTTACTCGGGGCAAAGTCAACATGTTTTCACATGAAAAAGCAGGCAAACGATAACTCATTAAAAACACGTTGCACACACTCCCACAAGACAATCACTTGTTGCCAATCAGACAGCATCTCTCCAATTCAAAACAACCATCCCACTTATCAAACCACATCTAATTCACAGTATTTTCCCCAGACATCTTAGTGTGGGGTTCTTCTTTTCTATGTCTCATCCCGCTTCTCCCGCTTCTTCCGCTTCACTTCTTCCGCGCCTCCGCCCCTCCTTCCACACTCATCTCACACACCACTCATCACACACCACTCATCACACACACCACTCATCACACACCACTCATC